CGCCGTGCCCGGGCGCTGCCGCCATGCCCCAGCCGGCCCCGCCGCGCCCCGCAGCCGCCGCCGGCGCACCATGAAGCGGCAGAACGTGCGGACGCTGGCGCTGATCGTCTGCACCTTCAGCTACCTGCTGGTGGGCGCCGCCGTCTTCGACGCGCTCGAGTCCGAGGCGGAGACGGCGGAGAGGCGGCGGCTGGAGGCCAAGAGCGACGAGCTCAAGAAAAAGTACAACCTGAGCGCCGAGAGCTACGGCGAGCTCGAGCGGGTCGTGCTCAAGCTCAAGCCGCACAAGGCCGGCGTCCAGTGGAAATTCGCCGGCTCCTTCTACTTCGCCATCACCGTCATCACCACCATAGGTACCGGCTGCCCCCGCCCCGCCCGGCTCCCCGCAGGGCAGATCCCGGTTCGGCTTTTTCCCGCTGGCGCCTGGGGATCCAGCCGGGAAGCGCCGGGAAAGCCCCGCCTGTCCCCGAGGGAGCGGGGGGAAAATCGGGAGCTCGGTGCTGTCGCCGCCCGGAGACCCCCCCGCCGCCGCCGCCCGTCCCGCTGGGACCGGGCGATCCCTCTGCTCGGCTCCTCCGACACCGGGAAAAACCCCCGGTGCTCTGGGTCCCGTCCCTTGGGATCGGGGCGATCCCTCCCCGGCTCCTCCGGAACCGGGAAAAAACTGCCAGGACCCCCCCGTCTCCCATCCCGGTGTTTTGGGGGCGATCCCCCTGCCCCAGATTCCCGTTTCCCTTCCTTGTGTTTTCGGGGCCATCCCTCAGCTCGGCTCCTCCGGCTCCGGGAAAAACCCCGGTGCTCTGGGTCCCATCCCTTGGGATCGGGGCGATCCCTCCCCGGCTCCTCCGGAACCGGGGATCCCGGTGTTTTCGGGGCCATCCCTCAGCTCGGCTCCTCCGGCTCCGGGAAAAACCCCCGGTGCTCTGGGTCCCGTCCCTTGGGATCGGGGCGATCCCTCCCCGGCTCCTCCGGAACCGGGGAAAACCTGCCAGGACCCCCCTGTCTCCCATCCCCGTGATTTCGGGGGCATCCCCCAATCCTGATCCCCCTCTCTCCTATCCCTTGGGATCGCGGCGATCCCTCTGCCAGGACCCCCTGACTCCCATCCCGGTGGTTTTGGGGCGATCCCTCTGCCAGGACCCCCTGTCTCCCATCCCGGTGTTTTGGGGGTGATCCTCCTGCCCGAACCCCCCTGTCTCCCATCCCGGTGTTTTGGGGGCGATCCCTCTGCCCAGATTCCCTTCTTCCATCTCTTGGGATCGGGGCCATCCCCCTGCCCCCGGACCCCGCTGTCTCCCACCCCTTGGGATCGGGGCGATCCCTGCCCGACTCCTCCGGAACCGGGAAACACCGGCCAGGACCTCCTTGTGTCCCATCCCGGTGTTTTGGGGGCGATCCCCCTCTCTCCCATCCCTTGGGATCCGGGCGATCCCTCTGCCCGGATTCCCATCTCCCATCCCGATGGGACTGGGGCGATCCCTCTCCGGCTCCTCCAGCATCGGGGGAAAAAAAAAAACAACCCGGACCCCTCTCTCCCATCCCGGTGTTTTGGGGACGATCCCCCCGTTTCCCATCCCGGTGGGATCGGGGCGATCCCCCTGCCCTGATTCCCATTTCCCATCCCGGTGTTTTGGGGACAATCCCCCTGCCCGGACCCCCCCGTTTCCCATCCCGGTGGGATAGGGGCGATCCCCCTGCCCCGATTCCCATTTCCCATCCCGGTGTTTTGGGGACAATCCCCCTGCCCCGATTCCCATTTTCCAGCTCGGTTCCCCCCATCTCCCATCCCGGTGTTTGGGGGCGATCCCTCTGCCCCGATTCCCATTTCCCATCCCGGTATTTTGGGGCCGAATCCCCCCCTTTCCCATCCCGGTATTTTGGGGCGATCCCCCCATTTCCCATCCCGGTGTTTTGAGGCAATCCCCCTGCCCTGATTCCCATTTTCCAGCTCGGTTCCCCCCATCTCCCATCCCGGTGTTTTGGGGCCGACCCCCCCATTTCCCATCCCGGTGTTTTGAGGCAATCCCCCTGCCCTCCGATCCCCCCCTTTCCCATCCCGGTATTTTGGGGCGATCCCCCTGCCCCGATTCCCGTTTTCCAGCTCTGTTCCCCCTCTCTCCCATCCCGGTGTTTTGGGGGCGATTCCCCGGCAGAGCCCCCCCAAATCCCCGATCCCGCAGTGCCGGGACTCCTGTCACCCGCACTGTCACCCCCATGTCACCCTCATTGTCACCCCAATGTCATCCGCACTGTCACCCCCCGTCACCCGCACTGTCACCCCCCTGTCACCCACACTGTCACCCCCATGCCACCCTCATTGTCACCCCAATGTCACCCGCATTGTCACCCCCCTGTCACCCACACTGTCTCCTCTCCCACCGGGAAACCCCCGCGCGACCCCCGGGATCCGGGAATGCTCCCGGCCGGGACCCTGGGATGTGTCCCCAAGGCGCTGTCACCTCCCGCCAGTGGCTCTGCTGCCCCTGTGGGACCCCCCTGTGGGACCCCCAGCCCGGGGGAGGGGACAGGGACATGTCCCTGTAGGGTCCCCAGCCCCACGGGGACAGGGACAGGTCCCTGTGGGACCCCCAGCCCGGGGAGGGGACAGGGACATGTCCCCACCCTGCCAGCCTCTCCCAGGGGGTGTCACCACTGTCCCCCAAGCTCAAGGATGTCCCCAGCCCTGTCCCCACCCTGGCAAGTGTCACTGGGGGTGCCCCCTTTGGGACCTACCCCCCTGTCACCTACTCTGTCACCCCTCTGACACCCCCATTGTCACCCCTTGGGCCTTTGGGTCCCCTCCAGGGGTGGCCGGGGTCACCCAATGTCCCCTGGTCCCCAACTGCCCCCCAAGCTCAGCCTCAGGGAGGGCCTGAGGGGTGGGGACAGCGAGGGGACAGCGAGGGGACAGCAGGTGACACAGGGCCATGGCCACCATTCCCACGGGGAGAGGGGAGGGATGGGACAATGGGATAATGGGACAATGGGATGGGGGACACCAGCTTTGGGACAGATCGTGGGGTGTCCCTGTGTCCCCAGGGCTGTCACTCGGATCTTGGGGTGTCCCTGTGTCCCCAGGGCTGTCACTCGGATTCCGGGGTGTCCCTGTGTCCCCAGGGCTGTCACTCGGATTCCGGGGTGTCCCTGTGTCCCCAGGGCTGTCACTCGGATCTTGGGGTGTCCCTGTGTCCCCAGGGCTGTCACTCGGATCTTGGGGTGTCCCTGTGTCCCCAGGGCTGTCACTCGGATTCCGGGGTGTCCCTGTGTCCCCAGGGCTGTCACTCGGATTCCGGGGTGTCCCTGTGTCCCCAGGGCTGTCACTCGGATCTTGGGGTGTCCCTGTGTCCCCAGGGCTGTCACTCGGATCTTGGGGTGTCCCTGTGTCCCCAGGGCTGTCACTCGGATTCCGGGGTGTCCCTGTGTCCCCAGGGCTGTCACTCGGATCTGGGGTGTCCCTGTGTCCCCAGGGCTGTCACTCGGATCTGGGGTGTCCCTGTGTCCCCAGGGCTGTCACTCAGATCTTGGGGTGTCCCTGTGTCCCCAGGGCTGTCACTCGGATTCCGGGGTGTCCCTGCATTCCCAGGATGGGCACAGGGATTCCGGGATGTTCCCGGGGGCCCGAAATCCCGGCGTGGGGAGGCAAAAGAATTCCCGGAGCTGGAACAGCGGGCTCGGGGTGCTCGTTATTCCCGGGGCTTTTATCCTGGTGTTATTCCCGGGGATTTTATCCCGGTGTTTGTTATTCCCAGGACTGCTATCCTGGTGTTTGTCATTCCCGGGACTTTTATCCTGGTGTTTATTATTCCCGTTATCCCGGTGTTTTTCATTCCCACCCTCAGGGCATTCATTATTCCAGGGGCTGTTATCCCAGTGTTTGTCATTCCCGGAGTCCTTATCCCGGTGTTTGTCATTCCCGGGGCTGTTATTCCCACTCTCAGGGTGTTCCTTATTCCCGGGGCTCTTATCCCGGTGTCAGGCTGGTATTCCCGGGCTTTTATCCCAGTGTTTGTCATTCCCACCCTCAGGGCATTCATTATTCCAGGGGCTGTTATTCCAGTGTTTGTTATTCCCGGAGTTCTTATCCCGGTGTTTGTCATTCCCGCCCTCAGGGCATTCATTATTCCAGGGGCTGTTATCCCGGTGTTTGTTATTCCCGTTATCCCGGTGTTTGTCATTCCCGCCCTCAGGGCATTCATTATTCCCAGAGCTCTCATCCCGGTGTTTGTCATTCCCATTATCCCGGTGTCAGTGTCAGGGCGTTCATTATTCCCGGGGCCGTTTTCCCAATGTTCATTATTCCCATTATCCCGGTGTCAGGGTGTTTGTCATTCCCGGAGCTGCTATACCGGTGTTTGTCATTCCCGCAGCTGTTATTCCCACTCTCAGGGTGTTCCTTATTCCCGGGGCTCTTATCCCGGTGTCAGGCTGGTATTCCCGGGCTTTTATCCCAGTGTTTGTCATTCCCACCCTCAGGGCATTCATTATTCCAGGGGCTGTTATTCCAGTGTTTGTTATTCCCGGGGTTCTTATCCCCGTGTTTCTTATTCCCGGAGTTCTTATCCCGGTGTTTGTCATTCCCGGGGTTGTTATCCCGGTGTTTGTCATTCCCAGGGCTGTTATTCCCACTCTCAGGGTGTTCCTTATTCCCGGGGCTCTTATCCCGGTGTCAGGCTGGTATTCCCGGGCTTTTATCCCAGTGTTTGTCATTCCCACCCTCAGGGCATTCATTATTCCAGGGGCTGTTATTCCAGTGTTTGTTATTCCCGGGGTTCTTATCCCCGTGTTTCTTATTCCCGGAGTTCTTATCCCGGTGTTTGTCATTCCCGGGGTTGTTATCCCGGTGTTTGTCATTCCCAGGGCTGTTATTCCCACTCTCAGGGTGTTCCTTATTCCCGGGGCTCTTATCCCGGTGTCAGGCTGTTATTCCAGAGCTGTTATCCCGGTGTTTGTTATTCCCGTTATCCCGGTGTTTGTCATTCCCATTATCCCGGTGTCAGTGTCAGGGCATTCATTATTCCCGGGGCCGTTTTCCCAATGTTCATTATTCCCATTATCCCGGTGTCAGGGTGTTTGTCATTCCCGGAGCTGCTATACCGGTGTTTGTCATTCCCGGGTCTGTTATTCCCACTCTCAGGGTGTTCCTTATTCCCGGGGCTCTTATCCAGGTGCCAGGCTGGTATTCCCGGGCTCTTATCCCACTGTTTGTTATTCCCGTTATCCTGGTGACAGGGTGTTTGTCATTCCCAACACTTTTATCCCGGTGTCAGGCTGTTTCATTATTCCCGGGGCTGTTATCCCGGTCTCAGGGTGTTTGTTATTCCAGGGGCTGTTATCCTGGTGTCTGTTATTCCCG